CCTGCGTGCACTGTGGGAGAAGGTGAGGGACTGAGGAGAGGAGGAGACGGTGCTGTCAGTGGCGACGAGCGTCTGCAGCGGCGGCGGCGGCCATGAGCTGGAGGAAAGCCGGAGGGGATGGAGGCGTGTCCAAGCGGTGGGCCGTGCTCCTCTGCCTCGGGAGCTTCTGCCTCGGCCTGCTCTTCACCAACAGGTAAACCAGCACCCCCAATTCCCCCTCCCGCTTCTTCAATTTCTCTTCCAGATTCCCAGCTCAGCTCAGCACGCGGAGCTCAGCTCAGCTCCGAGACTAGCTCGAGTTCAGCTGGATCCGCGACGTCTCGCCAGCCTCTGCACCTCGAATTTGTGAGATTAGAGATCGGATGGCTGGCAGATAGGGGGTGTCAAGGCTCGATTTGGGGGTTTCTCGATTCTGTCGGCAGCGTCTTCATTCTGCCCCGCCATCGAATAATCCATGTGTTTTGGCTACTCTGGTCACGCAAAGTCTGATTCTGATGCTGCCGAATTGCGGGTGCGTTAAGTAAGGCTCCATGAATTTAGAAATTCGGTGGGTTTGCTGCCACATCGGGCAATTTTCCCTTACCACAATCGGGGCCGAGTGCGGATGATCCTGCGCAGAATCTCGATATAATTGTAGAGACGAGTTATTATTGCTAGGTGATGTATCCTCCAACATTGAATAACTGTACTCCTACCCAGAACTGTAAAATGTGATCACATCTTAATCTTATGAACGTCTACCTCTGTTCGGTCTCTTGATGAATTGGACTAGTCTTTTCCGTTGCGATGCTATTCGACCGCAAAGTTTAGGAAATGATTCTTGTGCATTCGGATTGCTTGATCCAGAATGTGGACACTGCCTGAGGCAACTGAGGTTCCATTACCGAATCAAAGCGTTGAGGAAGGCAAAGCTCTAGTTGCTGCAGATTGTGGTTCAAAAAAGGTACTGGTGGTGTACTTCTCCCTCCATTAATCTCTGTCAAGTATTCCATAATTGCACATTGATATTCATATTGTACAGCAGCTGCACAAGTCAGTGTTATAAAAGCAGATTGCTGCTGTGTGATGTGTATTGTAAATTTGTTATATTGTACCACCTGCGGTAATTGCTGATACATAGTTTGATTATCATGTGCTGCTAGGTTCAAGAACTGCAAAAATACAAAGATGTGTTACCAGACCAAGATACTCATCATGATGTACAGTACGTACCAAGTTTGTCATTCTTGAGCACATATTTGTTCCTTTATTGAAAGTATCTTTTTACGAAAAAAATGGTTCTGACTGACTGGCATTTCCAAATGTTTTGGTTGTAGGACACTAGATAAGACAATAGCGACCTTAGAGACAGAACTCTCGGCTGCTAGAACCCTGCAAGAGTCATTGCTCAACGGTTCCCCTGTTTCAGAAGACTTCAAAGTTTCTGAGTCGATTGGGAGGAGAAAGTACCGTATGGTGATTGGCATCAATACCGCTTTTAGCAGTCGCAAGAGAAGAGATTCCATACGTTACACCTGGATGCCTCGAGGTTGCTGACGACATTCAACTTTATAGCTAACTTGCTTCGGAACATTTCTTACCCTGCGAACTTTGAAATAACTAATAACAAAGTCTGAAAATAGGTGAGAAAAGGAAACAACTTGAAGAACAGAAGGGGGTCATAATTCGGTTTGTCATCGGTCACAGGTATGGTGCATAAAGATTTTTATGTGCATTTAACTATCAAGGCATGATATTTGAATAGTGAGAAGTTCTAGATTATTTATTTATTCATGGTAATAACGTGTCATAAATTGTACACAGTAACTCTTTTGTCACAACTTTTTTGCCAACGCAGTTGTATATCTTTTGTCATTTTTTTTTGCGAAATGCAACTGCATGATACTCCCTCCGTTCCATAATGTAGTGCGTATAGATTTTTTAGGAAGTCAAACTTCATCTATTTTGACCAAGTATATAGAGAAAAGTATCTACATATATATTATCAAATTCATACCACTGCATACAACACAAGACAGACTTTCATATTATATTAAATTTGTATTATTATTGTTTATATTTTCTATCTAAATAAACTTGGTCAAACTTTGTGATGTTTGACTTTGAGAAAAAACTACGCGCGCTACATTGTGAAGGGAGTATGATTTAGGAGTGGTTTCATCCAACTTTTGAGTTTAGTAATATCCGCATACTGATCTTGAGGCTTGAGGGGTCCTTTTATTTGTTCTTTTCTGCAAGAGAAGGCTGTAGAATAATGGTTGTTAAGTACTGTAGTCTCAGTTTTCCACTTTAAAAGTGGCTTCAGAGTTTGGACAAGGTATTTATCGACGGAGAGGATATTGTTAAAATAATTTTTATGCAATATATAAAGGTTAAGTCATGCATAGCTTATAGTAGTAGACGAGAATGAATGTACGTTTATGGCAAGACATGCATAACCTCATTCTCCACATGATGTGCAGTGCTATAGCAGGCGGAATTATTGATAGAGCAATTGAAGCAGAGGACAGGAAACATGGGGATTTCATGAAGATAGTAAGTTGTTTGTTACTTAAAAGGATATTGGTTTCACATGGGAGTGACGCTGTTATTGTTGCCCTCATTTGGACTGAAATGCTATTTTGTCCTCCCTGTTTACTGTGGTTACAACTTTGTGCAGGATCATGTCGAAGGATACCTTGCCCTATCTGGCAAAACTAAGACATACTTTGCTACAGCTGTTTCATTATGGGATGCAGATTTTTATGTGAAAGTTGATGACGACGTGCATGTGAACATAGGTAAAATCTCTATATTTATGCCCTTTACAGCTCCAAGGTTAGGGGCTAAATGAGTGTGTGCGTCCATCTGTCATTTCTGTACTCAAAGCTCTTATTAATTTCTTGATGATTATCAATGATGTACCCTTTGTATGTGTAGTTAACCACCCTAACTAGGATAATATGCGGCTATTTTTGCATTCCTGTGCGTGAAAAAGGCCTTGACATCCGATCTTTCATTTCCAGCAACGCTTGGACAGATATTGTCCAAACAGGCATGGAAGCCAAGAGTATATATGGGCTGCATGAAATCTGGCCCTGTCCTATCTGAAAAGTAAGTAGTACATTATAGTCCATACATTATATGGATCTCTCCTTCTCTTAGAGTTCAAAGGTGTTAAGATCTGTTGTCTTTTTTTTTCTCCAGGGGTGTGAGATACTATGAGCCTGAGCATTGGAAGTTCGGCGAACCAGGAAATAAGTATTTCCGACATGCTACCGGTCAATTATACGCCATTTCAAAAGATCTAGCAACCTACATATCAATAAACAAGTGAGAAATCATAAGTTCTCATGTAATCTCGCACTTCCATCTTTTATGGTTCTGGTGAAAGCTAATTTTCTTGCTGCAAATTTCCATTTAACGCCAGGCACGTCCTACACAAGTATATAAACGAGGACGTTTCGCTAGGATCTTGGTTCCTCGGGTTAGATGTCGAGCACATCGATGACCGGAGACTCTGTTGCGGTACTCCACCTGGTGAGCTTCCATTACTCCCATGTCTTATAACTCCTTAATTTCCGTGACAATAGCACGTCGATGAGGACATTCAATCACATCCTGAACTCGACTCTGCTCACAGACTGCGAATGGAAAGCTCAGGCAGGGAACACCTGCGCGGCGTCATTCGACTGGAAGTGCAGCGGCATATGCAACTCGGAAGGCAGGATCTGGGAGGTGCACAATAAGTGCGCCGAGGGCGATAAGGCGCTGTGGAATTCCACTTTCTAGCGTGGTCGGAACCCTGACTGAACCAGAAGAAGCTCTCCTCTCCTTCATGTTTGTTAGTTGTTGTATACTAGATCGCCCCACGGTGCTGTGTATGTAATTCATCCTGTAGGTATAGCTGTGGTTTTGACTGTGGGACTGGCTGACACCGACGAAGCGGACCACAATTTTACGTAGCGTCTGTCCGCCGGTGGCGCCGGAGGCGAAGGTGAAGGCGAAGCAGGGTATACGAGCTGTCGCCGCATTCTTTTGGTGGATAAAATGTTGCAGGTGGCCATTCTGTACCGATCTCCTGTGCTGTTTGGCTACCACAGATGTATGACCGAAATAAAACGTCCCTGAATCCTGCATTTCAGTGCATTCTGGACTAGTATTGTGTTTGTAACAGCTGAGGCTCACTCTAAATGAAAGGGAAAATTCATGATCTGCCGTTCCAAAGATTTTGTAAATATGTGATGTGATTTGCCGCTTTACCGAAAAAGGCTTTCACCCTGCTTTATATATAAAGCAAACCACTAGAGCCAAAAGATCTCATAAAGGTTCACACCGCACACACACAAAGTACGAGAGAGGGGCCTGCTAAGGGCACAACTCAACGGGCCCTTGATAAAACGAAAAGAAAGGCGGTGGCTCAGGCCTCCAAGAGGCTAATCCGGCTCGGGAGGTGGCGGAGGAAGCGGCGGCGCCAAGCGGAGTGCCATCACGCGAAGATCTACAATGATGATGTTGATGGCGTCTCGGTCCTGAAGGCGGCTAAGAGGCCGCCAAATCTGCAAATAGCCACATATTTTGAAAGCCGCATCAGTAGCACGTTGAAGAGGCACACAGTGGATCACAATTTTATTACGGACCATTCAAAGCGTCCAAGTTAGAACCCCAATACCCAGTCACGTAATGTGGCGGAAACGCTGTGGAGAGGGCTGGATTTCCGCGAAGAGGTCGGGGAAGTTGTTGTTGCATCAACGTACACCGACCACCTCCCGGAAGCAACTCCAAAAGAATTGCGCGGACACGGACGTGTAGAAGATGTGATTCGAGTCCTCCTCCATCCCACACAAGGGGCATATCCCATCACCAGGGCCATTCCTTTTGAGTACATCCACTCCCGAAGGAACCCGGCCCCGGATCTATTGCCACAGAAAGATCCGAATCTTCAATGGTAGTCTCATCACCTAGATATCAACTATAGGCCCTGGCCAGGAGCGGCCGCTATGGCCTGGTATAGTGATTTGGTGGAGAACCGACCCGAAGAATCCAGATGCCAGAAGACGCGATCGTTTGAGTGATCCACGTTAGATTACTGTAGCGCAATGCACTCCAGAAGGCCGTGCCAAATGGCAAGTTTCGAAGGCCCAAATGGTCGCCGAAACGCGAGGCGCCCTAAGTCAATAAGGGTCACCTCGACGGAGATCCTAGACTCCACCGCGATGGAGAACAAGTCTTGGAATCGAGCAGCGAAGGGGCGATCCCCAACCCACCCGTCGAACCAGAAGAGGGTCGACGCACCCAACCCCACCACGACGGAGGTCCCAATGTGGAGGACCGGAAGCATCTGTATGATGGACTGCCAGAACTGTGTCCCGCGAGACCGCTGACAGAAGGCGAGCGGTTGACCTCGGAGATATTTTTGCTTCGGATGATGTCAAGCCAAAAGGCCGCCCTCCCCATTTGCAATCCGCCACAACCATCGAGTCGGCAGGGCAATATTCATGCGTTTGGACGACATGATTCCGAGCCCGCCCTGGTCACGTGGTTTGCAAATATGGGGCCAGCGAACCATATGGTATTTTTGCTTATCACCCTCGAGAAGAATTTCGTCTGATATTTGATGATCTCATGATGTAAGGTCCCATGAAGGTTGTAGAAATTCATGATGTACAGGAGCGGGCTGGAGAGTGAGGAGTTGACGAGCATGGTCCAAACCACCTTGGACAGCCATATGCCCTACCAAGGTTTGACAATGTGTTGGAGCTTGGCCACATATGGTCATAAGTCGGCCACGAAAAACTGAGTCACTAATGGGTATCCCAGGTAGTATGTAGGGAAGGAACCCATCTAACAGTTAAGCCGGTTAGCAATGCTCTGCCGCTCGGCAGGCGAGTATCCCATAACCATCACTTCGCTCTTGTGAAGTTGATCGTTGGACCGGACATATGTTAAAAGTAGAGAAGAGGATCTAATCCACGTCCCTTACCCCTGAAAGCACGAAACTAAACCCTAATTTCCAAAAATTCCAAATTATGAACTACAACGTCAAATAAAGTCATGAACTGAAAAAAAAAGGTGAGCACAAATGTCAGGCACTTCATCATAGAAAGGCGTAGGAGTCTATGAAAAAAGCAAAAATATCTCATTCCAGAAACAAAATCTGAATTGGTGATAGGGACCGGGCACACCTGTCAGAGGCACCCTGCTCGTGTGCTTGCACGGTTGTGCCGACGCTGCGTGCCCGTAGCGTAGCGCCAGCAAATGGTTTCGTCTCCTTTTTACAATTTTCCCTCCTGTTTTTCCGTTCCCGCCATCGTTTCCCTCCACTGCTCGTTTCGTCGCGTCCGGCCGTATTAAATCTCCCACCCGTCCCCCGCCAATCCTCCCCGCTCCGCACGATTCCGCGCCTCCTCGCCGCAAGCGCCGACGACCGAGCCTCCTTGCCGCTCCCGTCCCCGGCGACGCGATGACCATTGACCGCCGCGCCCGCGCAGCCCCGCGCGCGGAGGAGCGCCCGAGCCACGGCCGCTTCCTCCGCCCCGGCGCGCTCGCCCGGCTCCGGGACTGCAGGATCGTCGCCCGCTCCCTGCGGTCGGCGGCGGCGCGCCTCCCGATCCCGTCCGCCCCTCCGTCCCCCGCGGCGGAGCAGCAGAGGCAGGACGGCGTGCCGCACTTCCTGGTGGGGCCCACGAGGGGCCTCTGCGGCGCGGCGCGGTACCCGCTCAGGAGGAGGATGGCCGCGGCGAGGTGCGTGGTGTTCTTGCCGCCGCCGGAGGCGTTCCTGGACGCGCCCGCGCCGTCGTGGGTCCTCGCCACCGCGCGCTGACGGGGGCCGAGATCAGCCGCGGCCGTGCGTTTAGATTCGCGAGTAGTTAGAACTCTGTGCAGATGGCTCGCTGAACTTTCTTCCTTTCAACAGTTTTAGGATCTGATGCGACTGTTTTAGATCTGCTACCTTTCCGGTCTAATTTTGTTTAGTGGAATTGATCCAAATTTACAAGTTTGTGACTTGCATTTGTAGCTGGGTGCGTTGGTTTTCCTTTGGTTACATAGCTTTCTTAGTTTCTTGTTTTCATATAATAAAGTTGCATCAACCGGTTTCGTCAAGCGAAAAGAATTCTCATCAAACGGATAGAGCAGGACAAATATTTATTTCTGTCTTTGCATATGGATGGACATCGCCAAACAATGAATCTACTTACCTGGAAATGTCAAGGTTTGGGGTTGATTTCGATCGTGGACGAACTAAGCGACTGAGTGAAACAAATAGACAAGGTGAATTGGGGCCTGGGCTTTAGAAGTTGTGTGGTGGTGGATTGTGTTGGAAGGAGTGGAGGGCAAGCACTTTGGTGGAGAGGGAGTGTACATGTGGTAGTAAGGCTATGGTGTTAATACTATATTAATGCTGAAGTGAAATTGGAGGTAAATACATGTAGATTCATTGATTTCTATGGGAGCCTCCCACAAAGCTTAGGAAGAAGTCGTAGGATGTCATTCGTTACCTTTGAGCTCAAGATGTTCTACCTTGACTGTCCGTGGGTGATGTTAACAAAGCTCTCTTCCAATTTGCTCAGCTAGGAGGAAATCTGAGGAGCTTCATGCAAATGGAGGATTTCAAGGATTCCTTGGCTGTCTGCGGCCTTGCGACCTAAGTTTCTAGGGATATCCTCATTCGTTACCTTGGAGTGAATATTCAGGTGCGGCTTGGTTGGGTTACATGCAATGATGGGTTTTTGTTGTTCCGAGAAACTTCAGCCAACCACATTGTAATGGAGGAATTTGATCGTGTTGCTTTTGCTCATCCGGGCGACGGAGACAGCTCCTTATCAGGAGCAGAGAGGTGACCCGCCATTTCAATGTGATGCTATGGTGGTTGGCGCATGAGCCAAAGTAGTAACAAGCGAGTGTGCTTTTCGGCTCTTTCACAAAAACCAGGGCACGTGTCTACGAGCATGCAGGCATGGCGCTGTGTGGTGTTCGGATCTAGACGGTGATAGATTGCCCAGCTCAAAGAGCAGCTCCGGGATGGAAAAGTGAGGGCACTCGAGACTGGATACTCACTTGAGGTCATGTTCACTTGAGATCATGTATACACAACATTAAAGGGTTTTCTTTTGGGAGCACTGCCCCCTGATGGCTCCATATTTTACGCATCTTTAGAACTCATTTGTTGCACATCATCTCTATATATCAAGTCATATCATGTTCCATTGAGCCAATTACCCACAAATTAATCATGTTGGGCCTCTGCCCCCTTTGAATGCTAACTCGTTTACTAAGTGGAAATTAGCTATGGAGTGTCACATTCATAGTGCATCAAAGCAACTATGGTGGATCATGGTCAATGGTTTCAAGCCAAGGATCCCACAAGTCTCACTCCAAGGGAGGCCGTTGATGATCAACTCAGTGCTACCGCTCTCAATATGTTGCGTCTTGTCATGACAGATGACTAGAGTGACTCAATTGCTCTCTTCAAGACCACCAGAGAAATCTAGGATTGTCTATAAGATATATTCTATGGTGATGAAGCTATTCAAAGGTCTCAGACCTTCCTGTGTGTGGTGCTTGAGTGAAGGGGGTTTGATGGCTGGTTGTGCTCATGGATCATGTAGTTAGTCTGGAGTGGCAGTAAGGTGATCAATATCAATGGGGCGGTGGGGTCCTTCTTTAGGTTATCTAGGGGGTGAGTCAGGGGGGCCTTATTTGTCCTCTCCTATTCAACCTCGCGGTCGATGCCCTGGTGACAATCTTGGACAAAGCTAGGATGGTTGGGCACCTAATCCCTGGGCTGGTGTCATACACCTTCAATATGCAACTACTAGGGATAACCCTAGCAGTAGCGCTGGATTTATATCTACCAATAGTGCTTGTACAAGCGCTACCACTAAGGCCTACAGCTAATTGGTAGCAGTAGCGCTGATTTTCCAGCGCTATTGCTATACCTAGTTAGTAGTAGCGCTCGGTTAGGAACAACGCTAGTGTTAATAGTAAGTAGCTGTAGTGTTTTTTATGAAAAGCCCTACTGTTAAATTTTTCTGTATTTTTTAAAATGCAGCTTATTGTCGCTGTATTTGTATATGTTTTATATAAAGTGCTTTCATCATATGGTTTTATGACCATGATTAGATTCACCACATGTTGCCTCCACTTGAATCTAATCCACGTGTTGCCTTGCCTCCACTTGAATCTAACCCACTGATATATATAATAACTCATCATGCTCATATAACAACTTAGCATCATGCATCATCATCATAATGTATAACTCATCATTGTTATCATAATAACAAGTCTTACTCATCATCATCATACAACTTCTACTCGTTATCATAATAACAAGTCATACTCATCATCATCTTAGTCATCTAACCAACCCTATTTAATTGTTCTTAGCACATGATCATGAGTATTAGCTACGACTTACTTGTTGGGGAACGTAGTAATTTCAAAAAAATTCCTACGCACACACAGGATCATGCTGATGCATAGCAACGAGAGGGAAGAGTGTCGTCCACGTACCCTCGTAGACCGTTAAGCGGAAGCGTTATGACAACGCGGTTGATGTAGTCGTACGTCTTCACGATCGACCGATCCACAGTACCGAACGTACGACACCTCCGCATTCAGCACACGTTCAGCTCGATGACGTCCCGCGAACTCACGATCCGGTAGAGCTCGGGGAAGAGTTTCGTCAGCACGACGGCGTGGTGACGATGTTGATGAAGCTACCGCAGCAGGGCTTCTCCTAAACACCGCTATAGTATGACCGAGGTGGATTATGGTGGAGGGGGGGGGGCACCGCACACGGCTAGGAGAGATCTTTGTGATCAACTTGTGTGTCTAGAGGTGTCCCCCTGCCCATGTATATAAAGGAGCAAGGGGGAGGCCGGCCGACCCTTGTTGGCGCGCCTAGGAGGAGGAATCCTCCTCCTAGTAGGAGTAGGATTCCTCCCTTTCCTACTCCTACTAGGAGGGGGAAAGGCAGGGAGAGAAAGAGAAGGAAAGGGGGGCGCCGCCCCCTTCTCCTAGTCCAATTTGGACAGGGGGAAGGGTGCGCGCTGCCTGCCCTAGGCTGGCCCCTCTCTCTTTCCCTTATGGCCCAACAAGGCCCATTAGTCCTCGGGGGGTTCTGGTAACCCCTCCGGTACTCCGGTAAAATCCTGATTTCATCCAGAACTATTCCGATGTCCAAATGTAGGCTTCCAATATATCAATCTTTATGTCTCGACCATTTCGAGACTCCTCGTCATGTCCGTGATCACATCTGGGACTCCGAACTATCTTTGGTACATCAAAACATATAAACTCATAAAACTGATCGTCACAGAACATTAAGCGTGCGGACCCTACGGGTTCGAGAACTATGTAGACATGACCGAGACACGTTTCAGGTCAATAACCAATAGCGGAACCTGGATGCTCATATTGGTTCCTACATATTCTACGAAGATCTTTATCGGTCAAACCGCACAACACTATACGTTGTTCTCTTTGTCATCGGTATGTTACTTGCCCGAGATTCGATCGTCGGTATCCAATACCTAGTTCAATCTCGTTACCGGCAAGTCTCTTTACTCGTTCCGTAATACATCATCCCATAACTAACTCATTAGTTATCATCCTTGCAAGGCTTATAGTGATGTGTATTATCGAGAGGGCCCAAAGATACCTCTCCGGCAATCGGAATGCCAAATGCTAATCTTGATCTATGCCAACTCAACAAGTACCATCGGAGACACATGTAGAGCACCTTTATAATCACCCAGTTACGTTGTGACGTTTGGTAGCACACAAAGTGTTCCTCCGGTATTTGGGAGTTGCATAATCTCATAGTCATAAGAACATGTATAAGTCATGAAGAAAGCAATAGCAATAAACAAACGATCAAGTGCTAAGCTAACAGAATGGGTCAAGTCAATCACATCATTATCCTAATGATGTGATCCCATTGATCAAATAACAACTCATGTCTATGGTTAGGAAACTTAACCATCTTTGATCAATGAGCTAGTCAAGTAGAGGCATACTAGTGACACTATGTTTGTCTATGTATTCACACATGTATTATGTTTCCGGTTAATATAATTCTAGCATGAATAATAAACATTTATCATGAAATAAGGAAATAAATAATAACTTTATTATTGCCTCTAGGGCATATTTCCTCCAGTCTCCCACTTGCACTACAGTTAATAATCTAGATTACACAGAAATGATTTTAACACCCATGGAGCCTTGGTGCTGATCATGTTTTGCTCGTGGAAGAGGCTTAGTCAACGGGTCTGCAACATTCAGATCCGTATGTATCTTGCAAATCTCTATGTCTCCCACCTGGAGTTGATCCCGGATGGAGTTGAAGCGTCTCTTGATGTGCTTGGTTCTCTTGTGAAATCTGGATTCCTTTGCCAAGGCAATTGCACTAGTTTGTCACAAAAGATTTTCATTGGACCCGATGCACTAGGTATGACACCTAGATCGGATATGAACTCCTTCACCCAGACTCCTTCATTCGCTGATTCCGAAGCAGCAATGTACTCCGCTTCACATGTAGATCCCGCCACGACGCTCTGTTTAGAACTGCTCGAACTGACAGCTCCACCGTTTAATATAAACACGTATCCGGTTTGTGATTTAGAATCGTCCGGATCAGTGTCAAATCTTGCATCAACATAACCATTTACGATGAGCTCTTTGTCACCTCCATAAACGAGAAACATATCCTTAGTCCTTTTCAGGTACTTCAAGATGTTCTTGACCCCTGTCCAGTGATCCACTCCTGGATTACTTTGGTACCTCCCCGCTAAACTAATAGCAAGGCACACATCA